TCCCGGAGTGCTGGGATGACAGACGTGTACCACCTGGCCCTGCTGAACAAGAAGGTTTTGAGCAGCCCTGGCCCCTCCTGTCACAGTGAGACAGCATCGCTGACCTCTCCGACTTCCAGCCCCGCACTGGCCCAGCCGCACGTCGCCTAGGTCTTCCTCACTTCCGGGCACGGCGGCCTCCCTGAACCCTGGCTCTCGCTCTTGCCATCCTGGCCACCTGGCACCGGTTCCCATGTTCTACCCACCGCTCCTGCCTCACAACGTCTGAAGTTCCTAGGATGAGTCACTCCCACCCGGAAACCTCTCCTTAGGGACAGGAATCGTCTCTTGTTTGTCTGTGCAAAACATGATGTCAGAGCACGGCCCTTCCCGGCTTCAGACTCCTCAGGGGCTTCCTGGCTACACCCAGGCAACCATCACAGGCCTCCCAGCTCCCTGCCGCCCTCCCTGCTCGGTGGCCTCCTCCCTGTTCCTGCACCTCGCTGGGCTCTGTGCTGCCCCAGGGCCCTTGCATGGCCCTGCCCTCTGTGGAACACCTTCCCCGAGTCTCTCAAGCCTGGCCATTTCATATCATTCATGTCTTGGCTTCAATGTCACCCTCTCAGGGAAGCCCACCCTGATCAGGCCTTCGGAAGCGGCCTCACACCCTGTCCCATACACCAGCACCAAGTCACCTTGGCAGGTCCTCAGAGGAACGCTACTCGATGGTCCCCAGTTGGAGGACCGTGCCACACTCGGAGCCCCAGTCTGTTCTTTTTTCCGCACCCTGTTGCTCCTATGGTGCCGGGGATGGAACCCAGGGCCTTGAACATGTTAGGCCAGTGCTTACCACTGAGCTGTACCCCAGAGCCTTTTTAATTTTGTTTTGAGACAGGGTCTCACTATGTAGCCTAGGCTGGCCTCAAACTCATGGTGATCCTCCTGCCTCAGCCTCTCAGGTGCTGGGATGACAGACCTGCACCATCATGCCTAGCTGTAATGCAATTTTATTGTTTATTTGTTTGTTTTTGTGGTGCTGAGGATGGAACCCAGCGCCTTGAGCTACATATCCAAGCCTTGTAATACAACAGTTTCAAAAGTGAAAATCAAGAGAAGGCCTAGGTGCTGCAAGTTCATTGTGGGATGGTTGGGTGGTGCGCCTGGGGGTCTCAGTGTGGGACCCTGCAGTGAGATGAGAGTGTCACAATCAGTCCCCTAACTGTGTGTCAAACTCTGGAGGTGCCGGGCTATGCCCATCACACTGCAGAACAGCGAGACCCACTGACTTCCCCGATGGCTCCTGCGGCGTCAGGTGATGAGCAGGAGACGATGTAAAGCCTGGGCGAGGACCAATTCAGAATCCTCCCTGAAAGTCCCAGAGCCCCAGTGCGCACCATCACTTGTTTTTTCCCCATGGCCGTGACCTCTCTTGCAGCCCCAGGGAGGACCGACCCAAGAGGCCCCTTAAAATGACTCCCCCCCCCCGCCCTGGGCGCCTTTCTACACACCAGGCCTGCGCCCAGGGCTTCTTGGCCCGACACTTGATTCCAGAGCCTTATGAGCTGAGTTTGAGCCGATTGCACAGGAAGCTGAGGGAGATCTGGTCACACGTCAGTACAGTTCAGGCTGAATTCCCAGGCCCCAGTTTCTCCCAAAGAAGGCAAAATCTAACCTGGCCACTACTGACCAAACCACTGCTGAGGCCAAAGGCGGGGAACCATGTCCCAGGAAGGCGGGGCCATAGCTGCTTGCATGCTGTGAAGACCCAGACATTGAGGGTCTCTCTCTCAGAAAGCCAAACAAGGAGGCTGACTACCAAACAGCCAGGCCACAGGAGCTGGACCATCAGAGGACCACAGCATTTGGAATGGGACCTTGACAGGGCCAGAGCATGGTCACCTGGACCTCAGGAGGACTAAGTCACCCAAGGCCCAGATATCCAGTGATAGAAGTTCCAGGGACTGCACTTTGGAGATCAAGGTTGCCTGAGAATCTGTCTCCCACAGGATTAGACTAGACAAGAGAAGAGCAGTGGAGGGGCAGAGCATGGAAAACAGGACACCAGGCTCGACCCTGGGGAGCCAGGGAAGGGATGGGTTCTAAGTGGGGATACCGTGCAAGGGCAGTGGAGAAGGCAAGCCCTCATCCTGCTACAGCTTCTACCTCCTGCCCTCGGCCCCACCAGTGGTGGCTAGTGGGACCGAGAAAGGCTGGAGTAGAGAGCTGCCATGAGTAGAGGGAACAAGACAAAGGGCACCCTTTGTCCACTGCCTGTGGCACAATCCAAATTTCAGGCTAAGCAGTTACCTGGGGAAAGTAAAACGGGAGGCCTGGGGAATAAAGGTTTTTCTTGGGGAAAAAAAAAGTAAGTCTAGAGTCCAGCATGGTGACACAGGCCTGTCATCCCAGCACCCTGAGAGGCTGAGGCAGGAGGATTGTGAGTTGGAGCCCAGCCTGGGCAATTTAAGCACCTAGCAAAACCTTGTCTCAAAATAAAAAATAAAAAAGGACTTGGGGGTATAACTCAGCGCCCTGGGTTCCATCTCTAGTACTGAGAAGAAAAACAAAAACAGAAGACAGGCACCCACAATAGCCCAAAGCAAGCGCAGTGCCCACCAAAGGGCGTGGCTGAGTACAGTGTGTCCATCTATGCAGTGGAATATTACTCAGCCCTAAAAAGGAGGGAATTCTGAACATGCTGTGAGGATGAGCCTTGTAGGGAGTGTGCAGAGGTGACCAGGGTGAAGGACAAGAGCCTCATTATTCACCAAACAGAGAGTTTATGTTGGGGAGGACAGAAGCAGACTGATTCTAGTTCTGATGGGTATATATGTGTTGCTTCTGACTGTGTAGTTACAAGTGCTTGAAGTCATATTCCTATATATTTTTTGCCATATTAATGCTTCTATTACTACTATACAAAAGGTGCCTTAACCAGGTACACACCTTTTTTTTTTGGTACCAGGGATGGAACTTGGGACCTTGTGCTTGTGAGGCAGGCACCGGAACCACTGAGCTAAATCCCCAGCTCTTAACCAGGTACACACTTTTAATTCCAGCTACTTAAGAGGCTGAGGCAGGAGGATTTCAAATTCAACCCCAGTTTGGGGAATTTAGCAAGCTCCTGTCTCAAAAAACAAAAACACAAAGAAAAAAAAAACCAGGTTGAAGGTGTAGTTCAATGTGAAGGCCCTCAGTTCAATCCCCAGTTCAACACAAAAAATAAAAATTAAAAGCTTGGGATGGTGGTGCATGCCTGTAATACCGGAACTGGGGAGGCTGAGGCAGGAAGGTCACCGCGAGTTCCAGGCCAGCCTGGACTACATAGTGAGTTCAAGCCAAACAACATAGGAAGACCTTGCTTGAAAAAAAAAAAAAAATTGCACCTAGGGGGTGGGCGTGTGGCCCAGTTCTAGGACACTTGCCCAGCATGGTGGAGGCCCTGCTTTCGATCCCCAGTATCCCCAAAATACTGAACCTATAAAATATATGTTCTATATGTAAAATATGCTCTACACAAAATATCGCAAGCGTTTTCTTCCCCCACACAGTCCCTTCCGGCGCTGCAGGCGCAGTGACGGCATACTGCCAGCAGGTGGCGCGGCCGCACCTCGCACGCCCGGGACATTTCGCGCCCCCGCGGTGGGCGACGCGGAGGGGGCGGGATGCGTCAGCCGGAGTCGCGAGCTGGGAGCCGGAGAACAGAGCTTGCAGGCTGAGGCCAGACCCCAGGCTGGCGGGGGAGAGGACGCAGGTGTGAGTCACTCGGGAGCCCCGGACGGACCGTGGGAGACAGACCCACTCGGGCCTCCCCCCTCATTCGTGAAGCGCGCTCCTGGGGCAGCCCACTCGGGAACGGGGCACAAACTGGGTAGTGACAGTCTCTCCAGGCCTCGATTTTCCCTTTTGCACAGTGCCAGTCAGCACGGCCCAGGCTTTCCAAGGCCCTGGATTATATAAATAATCCATGCTACAGAAAGGGGCTCCTGGTGCACAGCTAACACTCAATATATGTCAGCGCCCCCACGAGAGGGAGGAAATCAAGGTGACCATCGTCGTTGCGAGCACGGCCGAGGTGGCAGCGTGCAGCGCAAGCAAGGAAGTGCCTCGCTTTCTCCCGGCCTGGGTTTCTCCCGCTGTCCAGGCTGCCGGCAGGGGGCGGGGCCGCCCAGCGCAGCGCCTTGAGGCAGCGGCACCTGCGCTCCCTCCCACGCACACCGCACCCTGAAACTCTGGAGGCAGGGAGGGGGCGGCCGGCCTCTTCTCCAGGGTGCCTAGGACTATGCAGCCTCTGCATTTGGGGACCTGGCGGCATCGGCATCCCACTGCGACCATGAGATGCACTTACTGAGCACGTAGTGTGTGCCTTTTAAGTGCCTCTTCCCTCCCATGAGGCCGGTGCGCATTCTCAAAGCACAGGTGGGGACCAGGAGGTGGCCCTTGCAGCTCTCACTTTTGGGGACCTTGGAGAATCCTCTGGCGACTACCAGCCTCATTGAGCACTTACTGTGTGCCCCCTCCAATCAGTGAGGCCGGGGGTGCATTCCTTGGGAAGTTAAGTCACCCAGGGACTGGGGTCTTTAAGGCCAAGAAAGCCCCCCACCCCCCATTCCGGTTGGAAGGGACCAGGCTGCAAAGCGAGCCCCTTCCCCGGGAAGCCCCCTGAGTAGAGCCTGGGAAAGGCTAGGGCTTGGGACTCTCCGGGGACAAGGAGGGGATTCCAACCCCCCCCCCCCGAAAGTCCAGGCCGCCTCAAGCGCTGGAAATCCCGCGCGCGCCCCGAACCGCGGCGCGGCTGCCGGGAAATCAAGAGAAAAACTTCTGTTTTTTTTTTTCTTTTCTGGCACTCTCGGCCCCCCCAGCTCTGGCCCCCACGTGGGGCGCCCTTGCGAGGCGCTCCTCCCCCTTCTCGCCGCCGACCAATCATAGCGTTTGCTACTCTTGCTTTTGTTTTTCCGCCAATGGAAGAAGTGTGCAGTATCTTCCCAGGTAACGCCCAGCCCTCAAGTCTATAAAAGGTGGCGCCGGCTACTGCCGGCTCAGATCGCTCAAACTGTGGAGGAAGACGCTTTATTTCACCGCTCCCTGGATTATTTTCGCTAAAGACTTTGCAAGCTCTTTTACTTTTTTTTCAGTTTTTCTTTTTGAAGGGGATTTTGCTTGCCACCGGAAGCTCTTGGAAGATTCAAGCTTCTTGGGAAGATTTGGAGCTGTTTGGCTCGGATTTTGCAATTTCTCCCTGGGGACTGTCGTAGGGCGCATCATTGTGGATTATAACTGCACCATGACGCTGGAGGAGCTCGTGACGTGCGACAATGCGGCTCAGAAGTAAGTCCCGGGGTCCCCGCCGCCGGAGGTGCCTGGGCCGGGCCGGGCCGGGTGGCAGCTGCTCGGGGGCACCACTGGCGCTGATCCTCCTGGTGTGTCCTCAGGATGCAGACGGTGACCGCCGCGGTGGAGGAGCTGCTGGTGGCCGCGCAGCGTCAGGACCGCCTCACTGTGGGGGTGTACGAGTCGGCCAAGCTGATGAATGTGTGAGTCAGACCCTCCCCGACTGGGGCGGTGGGAAGCCCTCCGCTTTGCAGGCTCTTGCGTGGGGCTGGGACGCCTCCAGATGCTCCCCGCTGTGAACCTGTCTTGTAGGCTCTTTGGGGGGAGGGGCTGCAGCAGTACTCTGACACTTGGTCATTTGCAAGTACTCACCTGTAAGGTCTCTGTGAGCCCTGGTCCTGCTTGTCCCGCCGCCAGCAGCTTGCAGTTTCCCTCCCTCGGTTTCTTTTAGCCCCTGAGCCCTCGCGGTGCTCCCTCAGTGGCCCTTCCTGTGGCGTCCTCACCTGACCCACCTTCTCCCTTCCGCCCCTTCAGGGACCCCGACAGCGTGGTCCTCTGCCTCCTGGCCATTGATGAGGAGGAAGAAGATGACATCGCCCTGCAGATCCACTTCACGCTCATCCAATCCTTCTGCTGCGACAACGACATTGACATCGTCAGGGTGTCGGGCATGCAGCGGCTGGCAGAGCTGCTGGGAGAGCCGGCTGAGACGCAGGGTGCCACCGAGGCCCGAGACCTGCACTGCCTCCTGGTCACGGTGAGCTGGGCCCCCGCCCCGCCCCGCCCCGCCCGGGCATCTACCTGGGTTCCTGTTTGTCAACAAAGAGTTCGGCCGGCCGGCCTGTACCAGCTCAGCGCCCAGCCATGCTTGGCATGTCCCGTGGGCCGAGGTACAGGGCTTCGTCACTTGGGCAACTATTTGCAGCCTGCCTGTTTTCCCGAAGAGGGGGTGGGACGGGATGTTCCCCACCCACTCCCGGGGGCTCCCTCTGAAACTGTCCTTTTTCTCCCCCCAGAACCCGCACACGGATGCTTGGAAGAGCCACGGCTTGGTGGAAGTGGCCAGTTACTGCCAGGAGAGCCGGGGCAACAATCAGTGGGTCCCCTATATCTCTCTGCAGGAACGCTGAGGGCCTCCTAGCCACAAAACCTGTTGCTGCCGAAAATGAGTAAATAAATATTTGATCCCCTCCCCACCAGAACACCCCCCCAAAACAACCCAACCCATGAGACCATGGGGGCAGAGTCACTTGAGACTGAGGACGAGGAGAGGGGAATGTGCGACCACCTCCCCCCGCAGGGGGACAGAGCCAGAAGCATCTCCCGAGGTGGCCACCGAGAGAGGAGAAGTGGAGAAGCAGGGACCCGGGCCAGCAGGAGAAGGGGACCCGGGAGGCCAGGCCTCAGGGACGCAGCAGCCAGAGGGAGGAGCTGCCTTCTCCCAGTGTCACAGAGGGCTGGCACGGACACTGCGGGGATCGGGAGAACCACGGAGTTCCCCACCCTTCTGGAGACCAGAGACATCTGCAGACGAAATGTGGATGACCGAGGGCGAGCCCTCTGCAGGACTAGCAGCTGGGAGCTGGGGCTGTGCTGTTCTGTACCCAGGAACTCCCAGCTTGCAAATCAGAGACAATCTATTTTGTTACTTTGCACTTCTTGTTACTCGGGGACCACTGAAAGAGCCGGGAAGCGTACAGACTTATATTTTTATTTCTACTATGCTGGCCTTGTAATAAATTTCTAAAGCTTCTTGGTCCTGGTGTGCTTTAGGTGAGCCGCCCCTCCAGCTCACCAGGAAGTGTCACTTACGTCCCCATTTAGCAGCACGGCGCCTCTGCAGCGACAGCACTTCTTCCCTGGCGGCAGGCGCCACCACCCAGCTCCACAAATCTTAGCCTTTTTTTTTTTTTTTCCTTTCTTCCTCCTGCCCTGTAGCAATTAAGGGTTTATTAAGAAACTTGGTCACCGTGCCACGCTGTTACCGGCTGCTCTGCCAGCCCCAAGCTCTGCACCCACGCTGGCGCCCTCCCCACCCCGGGGTGACAGTGCAGGCTGCTGCCCTGACCCCCAGCCTGCACCGAAGCCCAAGGCTCAGGCGGGAGGGGGACCCCTGGGACCACACAGCGAGGTCTCCGGCCTTGCGGAGGCGCTCCTGTGGGGGCTCCCCTCCTTACCGGAAGAGCCTCCCCTACCCCACAGCCACCCAGACCAGCCCTCTACCTCTTAATTGCCCCAAAGAAAAAGTGTTTTTTCTCGAGCTCTCCCCAAACTAAAATCAACAAGCAGGAAAATACCCCAGGAAGCGGCCTCCCAGCCCCGCCGGGCTTGGCACGGGCTGCCTTTTGCTGCTAAACCGAAACTCAGTCGCCATCTAATTCTCCAGAAATTACTGGCGCGGCGCCGCTCCCCCCCCCCCCCCCGCCCCGCCCCGCCCCTCCCGGGGCACCCAGCGCACGCCCAGCCTCAGTTTCCCCGCACCGCGCCTCCAGGGTGGGTGCGCGCCTCTGGGGTCCTCTCGGCTCCAGGCCTGGGAAACAGAAGTACAGGGGCGGGGAGGGGCCCACCGCAGGCCGCGACCTTTCCACGGAGCCCGCGTGGGCGCAGGGGAAACCCCTGGGAGCTTGGGAGTCACTGGGCTGGGGGAGTCACGGGGCTGGGGGAGCCCCGCGAGGGGGGGAGGGGAAGCCTCGGGGAGGGAGGGGGATCCCTCCTGGGGCGGGGGAGGGGACCTAACTGGGGAGACCACAGGCCCCAAAAGGGGAGGGAGCCTGGAGTGGGCGGGAAACTCAGGAGTTGGATAGGGTGAATTAGTTGGAGTCTTAGGGGTTCAAGGGATGGAAGAGGGGGTAGGGGATATAGGGGAGCTAGAAGGGGAGCCCAGAGAATTTAGGGGTTCAGGCACAGGGTTGGAGGAGGGAGAGATTCAGGGTGAGACCCGAGGGTGCAGAGAGGGGAGGGGGTGAACCTCTCCTGGCTCAGTTTCCCCTTCTAAAAAATGGGAATAATACATAATATACCCTGTGGATTGTTCAGGGAGGCACTGAAATCTACATTCCTTCGCTCAATGACTGCAACCCTTGGATTATATATGCTCAACATAGAAAGTCTAAAAACAACCGGCTATAATTACACTGTCACTACTTGCACCCTTACTAGGGTTTGTGAATTTCCAGGGTGACCTACAATCCTGTCACAGCCACCCTGTGAACTGGCAGAGTTGGGACTTTTGTGAGGCACAGCTTCTGTGTAAAATTAAAAATTCAGTGGGCAGGGCAGGGGATTTAGCTCAGTGGCACCGAGCCTGCCTTGCAAGCTCAAGGTCCTGAGTTCGATCCCTGACACCAAAAAAAAAAAAAAAAATTCAGTGGGCAGCAAGGCATGGTGGTGCACATCTGTGATCCCAGCACTCAGGAGTCTGAGGCAGGAGGAATGCCGTGAGTTCAAGGGCAGCCTAAAATACACAGTAAGACCTTGTCTCAAAAAAAAGAAAGACTGCAGACGGACCTCAGTGCAAAGGCCCTGGCTTCAATACCTAGCACTGCAAAATAAATACATTTTTTAAAAATTCAGTGGGCCAGGACGTTTTCAGGCAGTATTTTAAAAATTCCAATGAATGCAGAGAAAACCTATGGTGAACAAAATTTCAAAATTATAACTAAGACAGTCAGCAATGCTGACTTTTTCTTGTGGCTCAGGATCCAGCTGAGACACTTCCTGATTTTGTCTGTTTTGCTTATTCTTTTTGTTTTGTTTTGTTTTTGAGACAGGGTCTCACTATGTAGTCCAGACTGGCCTTGGTGATTCTCCTGCCCCAGCCTCCTGAGATTACCAGCTGGGGCCTGGCTAGTGAGCCCTGGGGAAGCCCCAGAGCGTGGATGGGAGGCTGCATCTCCTCTCAAGTTCACGCTAGGCCAGTGAAAAGTCACCAGGGTTCAGTCCCGCCCTCGGGACAGGGTGCCAGGATACCACGTGTGTTCTTTGGAGTTGAGGACACCACACTTGGCCATGTCTGCTTCAGGCTGCAGGCAGACGGGTGTGAAATGCACGCACACACTATGGCATGCTCCTTGCTGCACAGTCACATGTGCACACCCAGAGGCATGCACAGAATGTCTCTTTACGCTGTCGCATGCTCACGTCCACCCTTGTATTTCCTGGCACAGGGTTCAAATCCCAGCTTCACCCATTTCCCTTGGGCAAATCTCCCAGCCTCTCTGGGCTCACTTTCCACATGTGTCAAAGAGACACACACTGCCCCCAGCACATGTGGCCACAAGTTCTGTGCACAGACACAGAATCATGTGCACGAGGACAGATATGGAAAGCTCAGTGCAGTGGTGCATGCCTGTAAGCCCAGCAGTCAGGAGGCTGAGGCAGGAGGATCACCAGAAGTTCGAAGCCAGCCTGGGCTACATAGCAAGACCTTTTCTAAAACAACAACAACAACAACAAAAAAAAAAAAAACAAAAAAAAGAAAAAAATTAGAATTTTTTTCACAGATATATACGATACATATATATCATTATAGATATAATCCACATACCATAAAATTAATCATTTTAAAGCATGCAAGTCAGCAGCATTCACAATGCTGTGAAATCATCCTAATTCCAGAACTTCCCATCATCCCAAAAAAGGCCTGGTTCCATGGGCAGACCTGTCCCTTCCCCAGCGCCAGCACCTACAAGTCCACTTCCTGTCTCTGGAGTCACCGGTCCTGGGTGTTTCCTGTCCATGGAGCCCGTGCTGTGTCCTCTGTGTCTGGTGCTGTCTGGTGCCTGCATGTTGTGGGCCTGTGTCTGTTGCAGGTGCCTTGGGGTTGCAGTTGGAAGCTGCATGGTCAGCCCTGGTGTGGTCCCCGATTGTGTGCCTGGGACCCTAGCAGTATACCAGCACCATGTGGGTGAGGACACACACCCGGAGGCACTAGGTCAGGCATGGAAAGTTCACATTGAGCTCCTATTCAGGATCACTGCCTGCTGTACACAAGGACCCAGGCCAGGCTCCATATGCTCTGCCTGCTCACTTTGTGTTCTCAGCCCATGCAACTCCCCCTCCAAGAAGCCCACCAGGCTGGGCACAGCTGAGGTTCTCAGTAGCTCTGCCCGCTTCCCCTTTCCCATCTGCCCCCTTTATAATGACATATTTAACTCTGTCCTTGGTTCTTGTCTTGCTTTTTGTTTTTGTTTTTCTTTTCCTGGTACCAAGGATTGAACTCAGGACCTTGCACTTTCGAGGCAGATGCGGTGCCACCGAGCTAAATCCCCAGCCCTGTTTTTCTGGTTTTTTGAGACAAGGTCTCACTATCTAGCCCAAGCTGGCCTTGAACTCGTAGCAATCCTCCTGCCTCAGCCTCCCGAGTGTTGGGATGACAGGCTTGTGCCACTAGGCCCAGCTTCATTTTTTTTGTTATTTTCCTTATGGTGCTGGGGCTGGAACCCAGGGCCTGGTGCCCACACGAAGAGTGCTCACTGTGGAGCCACACCTGATCCTCTCACCCACTGCATAGAAGTTCTCAGACTTCTGGGTGCCCTGGCAACGCACAGGCACACTCTCGATTGCCAGGTCACATGGCATCGAGGTGCCAGGGACACTGACCTCTCTCCTAGACCCTGTGTCCCCTTTGCCAGGAAGCTGCAGGAGGAATCCAGAGGCGGCCTGGGGACAGCTTCCTCCTGACTTCTGACACAGTTCTAGCCTTGGTCCCAGGCCGAACCCCTCTGCAAGCCTCCACCAGGACTTCCTGCCCGCAGGTACCCAGGACTGCACTCTCCAGCCTTCCATCCTTTGTCACAAGGTCCTTTCCACCAGGTGATTTTCCCCCTCTGGACCTCTCTTCCCAGGGTGTGGCCTTTGTCCTAGGTTGTTTGAAATCTGGAAGGGCTCAGCCTGGGTGCTGGAGGAGGGAGAGGAGGGAGTGGGTTTGCTTGGAGGAAGTGGGGTCCTGCAAAGAGGCAGCTGCGGAGCCCCCCAAACCCCCAGGGTGGTGAGCATAGAACAAACAGCTTGCCGTCCCAGGGAGCCAAGGTGTCCCAGGACCGCCCCAAGACCCAGAAGGACCCGAAGAGGCACAAATCCGAAGGCCGATGGGATCCTCCAGCCACACAGCAACACCGCAGCCACAATTGGAGGAGGGGCAGGGGCGGGTTTCCTTTCGCCCGCTTCTCCCTATTCTTCTCCTTCATTGTTCCTCACCCCTCCGGTTCCCACCCCATTCCCTCCTCTGGACGAGGAGCTTCTTCCAGGCCCCCGGGGAGGGGGAGGGGAGCTGTCCGCAGAGACCCTCCTCCTCACGCGCCCGTGCCTGTTGCAGGCGCGAGCACACGCACCGGGGACCTCAAGCCTGGGATGACAGGCGTGCCAGTGTGGGAAGACATCTGTGCTGCGCACACCGCAGGCGCACCATAAATCCCTCCACCGCGTGCAAGGGCAGAATTCAGACCCTCCAGGGAGGCGTCGCGGCCGAGTTGAGCTTTGCGTCTGCATCCCGTCCATGCCATTTATTAGCCACGAGGGGTCAACAAGCTTGACTCAGTTTCCCCCCCAATACCGGGAAAAGGCGAGCGGCCCTCCCACGCTGCAACCGAGCGTTCTTGCAGAGTGGGCCACCCCGAGAACGCTCATTATGCCTCCCGCCACCCCGCCCTCTCGCCAGACACTATGGGGCGGAAAGGGGCGCTGACCTGGGCCCCAGACGCCCCTCCTGCCCTCCCCAGCAGGCAAGAGTCCCAGCTTCCCTGCTCCTTAAAT